CACTCACACACACACATAGACACACACACACACACACACACTCACTCACTCACACACACACACACAATTAGAGATTATTTGGAGGTCGTGAGATGCGGTCTGGTGTGAGGTAGGTTTTAGAAGAACATTTTCTTTATCGTGCCAACGTTTCGATCTTTATTGAGATCGTCTTCAGGGCTCAAAGTGTTTGTTTTTGTGTAGATGTGTCATTCTTGTGTGTCGTGTTGAAAGGGCACTGAAGATGATCTCAATAAAGATCGAAACGTTGTCACGGTAAAGAAAATGTTTTTCTAAAACCTACGTCACACCAGACCGCATCTCACGATCTCCGAATGATGATTGACTAAAGATCACTAAACATCACACATTTATACAATTAGTATTAATTTATAATTTACCATTGATTTAAAATGATTTATTATTACTATTATTTTAAAATTATCAACATTATAATTATATTTATATATTATATGTTATGTATTGTATATAACATATAATATATTTAATATAATTATTAAGATTTATAATTTTAAATTAATAAGTAATTTTAAATCAATTATACAAATACGTTTTTCATAATATGAAATTGATATCGGCTCTGATGATGACCTTAAAATAGGTCGAAACTTGGCGCTAACAATTGAATAAATTTGCTTTTTTCTTCAAGACCATACCTTGATCCAGGTAACTGATTCTAACAGTGAAAACATAAATATTCTTATCTATGCTGTTTATGAGCCTGTGTTTCTGTCATATTTGTTTTGTCTTTTCTTCTTATCCAATCTGTCGTTGTCTCTTCCTTACTTGTACCTACTCTCCAAAGTAAAATATTTTCCGCTTACGGGAAAGCTTTTAAAGTCCATCTTACTAATTATATTTTTACATATCTGTCAGCATTATTATAATATAATATAATTTTATATATATAATTATTATAATTTATTACATATCTATTGATGACCAAAGATGTTTTCTTGAACACTATAAGTTTTATTGTATATTTCTCGTATTATAAGTGTTTTTATATTCTTCAAAAAACGGTCAAATTACATTTTAATCTGCTTTGTAATAAACGCTTATGGCAATGTAATAAAATACACGAGACAATAAAAGCCAGCTTTCAAAGCTCAACTTAAACTAGAAGAAAAATTGCTTATACATTTCAGCTATCCTGTTCAACTTCCTGTTCAATGGCGAAAATCAACAATGTGAATTTTTGTCTGTAACTCGTCCCACTGCATTGCTAGTCGTAATAAAAATGAGTATCGCGTCCCGAAATACCTGAAGTCTTTCGACTTTTACGCAGCAAACGATAAAACCGCGGAATTGATTGCAAGGCAATAAATTCACTCCCCGATCTAACATTTCACTCGGTGAAACGGGGTCCGGAATCAGGATGTAAAACCTACAATAAATGTAGCTGAGAGGAGACGTCAACTTAAAATAAACCGTCGTACAATATTTCATCGGGCAATTATTCCAAACGGAGCGGAAACGAGAAGGATTTCAGACCACTTTAGATAATTTTTTTTTAGAGAGCTTTCAATATGTTTGGAAACACACAGGCATTTCTGGACGGGTTGACCATATATTATAATTTTAACCAACAGCTCTTGTTGATCCAATCATTAGTTTTTCGCTCCTAGGCGAAAATTGGCTCTTAAGGCGCTAACTACAGGGCGCAAAAGGCTTAAGAGATGATTAGACAGGATAAGAAGAAACAAAACACCTTTACATTTAAAAAACCTCGATTTACTAAGTTTACAAGACTTCAACAGCACTCTTTCTAAAACAATATAATGATCATAAAATGAGCCCAACAATTTTTTTTTAATATTCATTAATAATGCCTGAGTTCGAGCCTTGTAATATGGAGATAACCGTTTAATGGCCATTTCAGTAGTGAGGGGACCGAATAGCCTAGAATCACCAGACATTTTTTCTGAAGGTATGCTAGACCGTGTTAGTTTGGAAACTTAATTTCCTTGTGTGGATAACGGCAAATTTTTCACTCAATTATATCCTTACAGACATTTATATGTATAAGGTATTTGGTCATAATAAGATCATACGCACCTAACTGTTTTATGGTCATTATAATGTATTCCATGTAAATCTGAATCAGTCAAAGAGTTTCAGTTAATTCTTTTAGACTTTTCTATCAGATATCATTACGGAGCAACGGATTTGTTAACATAAATTTCCCTGTACAACCCAGCCAGCTGGCCAAAGCCGCATGTGAACATATCTATCAATCCGATTGCTAATTATTTTCGCCGAGCGTACACAAAAAGCAATCCACTTTCTGTCCATTATGTCCGGAGTTGAGATTTAATTTGAATTTCTTGTGATAACGAAATTTCAACTGTGTAATCCCTGTACGAGATTTACGGCCCGCCCGGGGCGTTTACACCGCATCGAGTAACGAGGTTTACACACAACTCTCAACCTCCTCCAATCACCACTGTTAAACTTGACCAATTAATATAATTAAAACTATAAAACACGGACGCCATGCATATGAGTAGTTTTCCATCTGGCTAATCAAATCTTCTCAACTTAGCGAGAATTAGAGAAACATTAAGGCATATATGAACGCAGTAGCAGACAAAGAGAATTAAGTAACAAAACACACTACATAATAAAATCTGTATCTCGTTACAGGTCCACTACTTAACTAATGTACAAGAAAATCATTTTAGTTATCTGTAGCCATGTGGATTAATTAATACAGGTAGAAAGTGAATTACCATTAAAAATGCTATTAACTATTTTTTTCTTCCAAACATTGCTATGTGCATTGAGCAAGAATGTATTGAAAATTAATAAAAAGGTTATAATTTGGTATTCAGGTGTTGCCCAAAACTCAGGCAGATCATCACTCAGATTGCCAAAAACCTACAACCAGTAACAAAATGGTTGTAGCATCAATAAAGTTAATTCAAGTGGGAGACGGAAAACACACTAGTAAATAAATATCTTTCAATTAATTCATCTGTTAAGGTGTTGGTCGAGTTAAAAAAAGTCAGTGTCACAAGCGGGTTTCGAACCCACGACCTTCGGCTAAATACGCCGCTGCTCTACCACTTGAGCAACCGTGGACTTCGATCCACTCGGACACTAACTTCCCATCTCAACTCCACCTTTTGAATTTTCCCTCCTTTTTGCCATTTTTCGCTTGTGACACTGACATTTTTTATCTCGACCAATACCTTAAATACAGATTAATTAATTGAATGATATTATTTGGTCAAGCGGACCACGAAAACTAATGAATTTAATAAATCAAATGAAGTATATTTTCACCAAAAGCTCTCCGTGGCCATTTCATTTGCAGCCGAGAATCAAATGGATTACACGACATTAGAAAAATGGCAAAAAGGAGAGAAAAATCAAAGGGTGAGGTTAAGATCGGAAGTTAGTGTCCAAGTAGATCGAAGTCACAATAGCTCAAGTGGTAGAGTAGCGGTCTATTTAGCCGAAGGTCGTGCGTTC